AATTTATAACACTTATAAGGTAAATACTCTTCAAAAGAGTGAAAGATAAGAAAGAAACAGAGCTTAATTGAATTTAATCAAAAATGAGAGTTAGAATGTTTAGACTCATTCAATACCTTTAAAAATAATGAAATTTGTTATGTGCCGCAATAAGTACTAAAAATACATTTTTAAAAGATAAAAATAAATTAAACTATTTTTTATAAATGAATTCTCTTTATTTACCTCCTTTAAAATCAGATATAGGTACTTTATTTCAGCTAAAAAAAGTTGGCAACCCTACTCATAATAGCTATCTTATATAACCTATTTAGATTTAGAATGACGATGACGTAAGGCGTTAATTAGTGCACTAATTAGAAGTGACTTCTAACCTTAATAGTTAAACTAATATAAATCTTTATTAACCTCGCGTTTGCCGGTATCTATACTAATATTATAATCTTTGGAACCGCTGGTAGGATTGCCAAAACTCTTTCACTGATAAATAGCTACAATGTTCCTGAGTGCTATAGGCTATAAAACATCACGCTACGATTAATGTAGTAATGTAGCTAGTTATTAAAATATAGGTTTATACGGTCATATTTATAGTAGTTATATAATAAGGAAAATAATATTTATTTCAATAATACTTCCGCGGTTATAATAAAGTATATAGTTATTCAATTCCCGCACGGAACAACTCTTTGTGTGATCCATAAATTGTTGTTTCGGGTCTGGGTGTGATGTGTATGTGAAATCGCATGTTTGCAAAACGCATCCACGACACAGGAGAAAATCCTAGTAAGAGCCAATAAAAATAATGCAAAGATATAATATATTTTGAACTAGCTTTTAACCGCAACTTTACGTGTAATAGTGACTGCCTGCAGATTTTTGGTTTAAAAACTATCCTATGTCCTTTCTCGAGTTCCAATCTACGTCTGTACCGAATTTCACAGAAATAGGTTCAGTAGTTTAGGCGTTAAGAAAAGGCAGACAGACAGAGTTACTTTCGCACTTATAATATAAGTTTGGATTAAGAATTTGACCCGATACGACCAATATACAACATATAAAATGTCACAACACCAAACTGTCAAATAAGGTTATAACAGTCACTTCGTCACATGCGGGTCGCATTGACTAATAGAAGCACACGATATCCTTATTCAAATTTATTACACGTGCCCAAAGCGATAAGGGTACTGATAACAAACTAGCATTTGAGGACGTGCCGTGATGAGGTAGGAGGCGACAATTAACTAATCTATTCATTCTTCAACAAAATTTAAGTGTGGGGGAGCCATGCTTCGGCACGAATGGGTCGGGCTCGACTGGAATGACACACGGTCTCACAGAAAACCGGCGTGAAACAACCTCAGCGTTGTGTTTCGCTGTGTGAATGAGGTTACCGGATGCCCAATCCCTAAATCTCCTAAACTCTTCCTCCAAAAGTCCTGCAACGCACTCTTTACTTCTTCATTGTTGTGAAGTGTTCATTTACGGCGCAGATTGCTTACCATCAGGTAATCCTGCTCGTTTGCCGATCCTATCACATAAAAAGGTCGATAATATAACCTTCCACCCAGTGGACACCTCAGGATGGAAGCCGCAGGCGGGGTAGGCTCCGGAAAAGATGGCGTGACGATCTAGACGCCTATCGTCGAGACTGGTGGACACGGTCGAAGGTTCGGGAGGTGTGGAAGCGAGATGGGGAGGCCTTTGCCCAGCAGTGGGACATTACAGGCTAGTAAAAAAAAAATATAACCTATCTGTGACATTGCATCCATATTTGGCAGTCGCATAACTCCATTACTGCTGTCCTGAATGACCCTTAGACTACAGACATACCTAATGAATATAATAAAATCGAAACCAAAACGACACATGAAACGAAACCCAACAAAGAATCCGTTAAAATGACATCATACGTTAATAAATACAACGTCATTATGTATTATATTATATGTATGTATATGTGTATATTATCTGCAATAAAAACCAACCTCGCTATTATTATACAATATACGCGTATCTCGCCAACCAAACTTATTTGAACAACTTTAGTAGCGATTATTTGAGTTTTTATTCAATTAATATTGTAAACTACAAGTTTAAAAGAAAGCTCTTTTATAGGTAACTAGCTACTCTCGCGCGGTTTCACCCGCTGCTAGGCTCCATTTAAGTTTTATAGCACTCGGGAACATTGTAGCTATCTATCAGTGAAAGAATTTTGGCAATCTGACCAGCGGTTCCAAAGATTACCCCCTACATACAAACTTACAAATTTTACCTCTTTATAATATTAGTATAGAGTATAGGCTAGTTTTTGCCCGTGACTAAGTTCGCGTGGAATAGTGACTTCCTGCAGATTTTTGGTATAAAAACTATCCTATGTCTTCTCTCGAGTTCCAAACTATCTCTGTACCAAATTACACAGAAATCGGTTCAGTAGTTTAGGCGTTAAGAAAATCCAGACAGACAGAGAGTTACTGTCGCATATATTAGTTTGGATTTCTGAAACTTACTAAAAGAAAAAGAACGTCTTTTATTACCACAGTCGTTTGATAGTTTCCAGTCTATTAGCTGGATGTAGACCTTTGGAGAGGTCTACAGCACATATTATCTCTTCAGCTCTTCGCATCATCACTGCCAGCCATCATAAAACCTATTTAAAGTTGATTAATCCTATAAACTCTACGTTATAACTTCATCATCAAATTTAAACCAGCAGTTTCGTAGTTATCACTATAAAGTAAGGACACACAAACATACAAACTTAATTTTATCAAAACAAACTAACCTTGCACAATTTAGCATAATGCTAATACTTAATAAAATATAAATAAAAACCGAATGTATAAAAGATAAAAATAATAACACACCACAATCAGTAAGTACATTGATAAGAATGACCGTTATATTATCACGTTTCATTTATTAATAATGCGTTATTTTTGTATACGAAACATTGTGTTTAGGTATGGCTTTTTAACGGCTAAAAACGAATACTCCCGCTTTCGGTGGGGCGAGAGACAGTGTCAGACTCTTACTGATTAAAAAACCCTCGTTCCTTCTCCTGCTCTACGCTAAGACCGCTGTACAAATTTGTGATTGCACCCAAGACCTCAAAAGTTTAACTGATCGATTACCTATGTGTTTTTTTCCAGCTCTCTCTATCCGTAATATGCAGTGTTAAGCCGGTATCGGTTGATCGCTAAAAAATTACGACCTCTTTTCTCATTAAATCATTAAAATTGTTTTAAAAATAAATGTTCTACATTAAGGAGAAAATCTAACAAAAATACGTTCAACAGTTCTTGAGTTTATAGCGAAAAAAATGACACGATTTTTTGATTGATTTGATCATTAAAATAGTAAAGTTAAATTAGGATTAACACACCTTATGTTATTTATTATAATATCTATGTACTATGAGAAGGAAAACCAATTAAAACTATAAACAACATTATAATGATTTCCTGTGTTATCTACGAATAAAAAAAAAACAATATAGTTGTTTTGTTATAAATGTGTGTTAACTGAACTAAAATAGGATATTTACAAGTATGTATATACAGAATCAAACAACGTCTGAATTTAAAATAACATAGAAAACCGTTACAGTTTCCGAATGATAGTAGCCTATCCCTACTCTATAAATATTGATCGACTAATTTTAATCGATTACAATAACAAAGCGTTTAATATACATCTTAAAGCTTCGGCCATCTTAAAAATGCTACCCTAATCGGATTTATCTATTTTACAATACAAATTGTAACCGATAAATGTAAATAATTCAATAACCACTAATTTATGTACCCTTATAAAAATATTTAAGAATACATTAACAAAATTACCGCATTTTTAACTCATATTTACATAAATATTTGATTATCAAATGATTTTTTTTAAATTTCACAGTCAAGAACAAAGCTTAAACGACGTTTGACAGCTTTGGCAGAATCGCGTATTACCTGCATCTCGTCACGTTTGACATTTAAAACCTAACCTAAGCGCGCGAACCGACCAAAGAAACTTCACATCTACAAAACAGTAACTACCCTTTTACTTCGAATAAACGTAAAAAATCAATGCAAAATACAAATTAAATCGTGAACAAGTGCAAATAGGACGTGTTAACAAACTTTCGCATGAGAAATTACGTGTAAAAACAGTGACAACGAAAGTTTAAAACTTGAAATCTCACGGAGACCTTTTGTCATTTTTTTTGACGAAATACGTGTTTAATAATGCCTCAGAGACTTGTAAAAGGGTTTGTTGGTACGTAGAACCAGTTTTATCGATTTATTTACGAGTACAGATAGGTTATGTATAAAAAAATGAAGGGGCCGTCAAATTCGGCTTTGTTACCATTTTCGGTGTAGGTTCATAACAATAAGGTTTTAAATTGATACTATGGGATGTCTGGTCGATTTTTCGGTCACATGACCTCAGAGGTTAGTTATTAGGGTAAAATTTTAGATTCTAAAACCCTGAGAACTTAAAATTTCTTTTCCTAAGGAACTTTTACTTTGTTGTAGTTCTGTAAATCAGCTGTTTGAAAATCAGGTGTGAAGTTGAAAGTTTTTTAAATAATAACTTTTATTCCAGCTTTATCAAGTAGATGTGATTTAAATCATGATTTAGTGGCTTTATTTTCTTTTTTTTAAGAATGAAGTCCTTAATACAATAATATGTAATAAGGACTTTATTCTCCAAACTTTTTAGTAACATTGGATTTTATTATGTTAGTTACAAAATAATCATTTTATTTCCAAACATAAGCTTATGGCACAATGCTTATTAAGCCTAGTTACTTTAAATCGCAAATCACTAAGATAAAGAATAGGCAAATACAAAAATAAAAAAACTAATCCTTAATTAAACATTGTAAAACATAATCTTACCATAAAAATGTCTTCCCACTGCCTATGAAACTACCTTCAATGGAGTCTTCAAATATTAAATTAATAAAACTCAATTAACATGAAACCCTTTCTTTGTTCCAGCTTAATAACAGAAAACTTCAAGATCAACTCCGGCAACAATGCAACAAAACGAAAACAAGAAGATTCACTAACAAACAACTTTAAAATTAAAATGAACCCCCACACACTCGACTTCTCAAAATCACCCATATCCCCAATTTACACACCGACAAAGCGAAGAATTCTCGGAGAAATACAAGTACCAAAATCACCACTTGATAGGCTAAAATCACCCTTAACCAACTCACCGAAACAAGTTCAGCAGTTCAAATCTCCATTGCAAGCGATAAACTCACCATTACTGAACAGAACTTCACCGTTCCTAAATCAAATGTCACCGGTAACGGTTAAAAGTTCTCCGTTGTCCACAAGAGTGAAACGGTCACGGATAACAAAAGTTATGGAGGAACGGAGCAAGTTCAGGATGGCTAATAAGGAGAATGATGCTCCGATGATGAGTGAAACATTTGTGAAGTTGGACGTAGAGGAAGAGACAAGAGATTTTCTCTTCGGTAACAGATTTGAGTCAACGAGAGAAAAAGTTACTAACTGGTCAAGTACTAAGGTGAGTGACTGTGTCTTGTCTCTTTTTTTGATGTGTTCGGAGTTGATTCTAGAGTGGAAATGTAGTTTTGGTATTAATGTATTTCAATGTAGTTGATTTTAAGTCTTCCCTTGTTGGATTTAAGTCAAGTAAGAATCATTTAAAATTATCTAAATTTTCTCTTAGTCCATCAGCTTTTTATGTTAAGCTTGCAATAGTTTTCTTAACTATAGTAACCTATATCAAAATGAATCCCTTAAAAATCTTGTTCAAATAGAATTACTCCCATCTAAGACAAAATAGTACATTATATCTAAAACCAACACCATTGTCTATTCCAGCTGGATTTCTCTCACACAATTCAAAAATCACCAAAACAGGACAGTTATACAGTACCTGAAAAAGAAATTACACAAGATCTAGACGAATTCCAGACTTTACACGATCTAGAACAAGAGTTTGAAGCCGATAACTTTGACCAGTGCACCAAATACGAAATCATATCAACGGATAGTCCGGACATCATCTCCAGAGGACGTACCACCTCCTCAAGAAAGGTGTGCTCAAGAAACTTTGTCTTTGGAGCACCATTGGCTGATGATGAAGCATCCACAAGCTTCAACAAACCAACTGTATCCGCAACAAGAATGTTAAACTTTGACGATGAAGAATTTGATTTTCCATCTCCGGTTATAAAGAAACAAGCTGCGAAGAAATCATTGAAATTCACTGAGACACCCACTAAGTTGAGGCATGAGAAGAGTGATTCCAGTATCGGTTCCATGTCTCTCAGTCAGTCTCCGTTGACCAAAACAAGTTTATACACAACCGAATCAACCACATCTATGGAAAGCGGTTTTATATCTGAACTAGAAGAACCTTTCCTTGAAATTGAAGATTCGAACTCACCTAAAGTTGAGAACTTTAGCGATCTGCTCTCCGGACAGATTAAGTCAAATGTTATACCTGAAAAGAGTTTTCTACGAAGACCTTTGAATAGGAGTTTGAGTTTAAACCCTGAGAGCAGGGCGAGAGTTTCTCTGTTCTCTATTCTAGAGAATCCTAATATGCAACGGAATAAGAAGAGAGTGGAACGAAGTGAGAATGAAGTGGCCAATAAGAGAAGGAGGTCTAATTGCCACAGTCCTATTGCTGAAAAGGTCCAAAGGCCTGTGTTGCAACGAGCTTACTCTGAGAACAATGCTCTTATTATGTCGGCCATGGCTAGATGTAAGTATTTTATTCTACTTTTTGATAGAGATTAAACTGATTACCTGATGGTAAGCAATCCCCGCCTCAAAGAGCCAATAGATCACCACAGACGGGGCCCTATAGGGCTGACGTTCAGCCGGGGTTGCGGGGTAAGCGCAATCAGTTTGATGATTATCCCCTGGCAACATACTCGTAACTCCTTTGGTGTTGCGGGTGTCGATGAGCGGCGTCGATTGCTTACCATCAGGTAAGCCGCCTGCTCGTGTACCGATGTATATCATAAATAAAGTTTAGACTTATATTTCCAATTTCTCAATATATTCAACTAAAACTCTTCATAAATACAACACACAATGCTTAAACAACCAAATCTATAATAATTATTTCTCTTTTCCACAGCAATCGTAGATCCGGACCTAATAGGCGACTTTTCGGTGCCATACGCCCTGCCTCTCACTGCTGGAGACCATTCAGATCTGAAGAGCATATCCTGTGATACCCTGGCTGGACTCCTGAGAGGAGAATATGATAATATCATCAGTGATTATCAGGTATAAATCTCATTTTTAATATGTTAAAATTTTCGTTACCTGCTCAGTACCAATGTGACCTTTTCCAAGTAGTTTCTAAGTTGATTTAGACACCACTGACATACGGTGAAGGAAAACATCGTGAGGAAACCTTGACTTGAAAATTTCTTCTTTTTATAATTAATGCTCATGCCTTCTCCTTGTGAGAAGAGGCCTTTGCATAGCAGTGGGCATCTTAGAAAGAACACAAATTTTTTTTCAGTGAAAATCTTTAGTTATCGTATGTCATTGAACTTCTTCTAAACGGCTTGACCGATTTAAATGAATTTTTCTGTGTGCGTATGAGTGGCGCCCTGGATGGTTTAGATTCACAAATCAGCCCGACAGATGGTACTGATTGCTTGAAAAAGCACGTGATCTCGGAAACGGCCCTAACGATTTCGCTGAAATTTGATATGTGGGAGTTTTTAGGGAGCTTCCGCTAGTAAAAAGTATTGATTTAGTTCTTGCTCGTTTATCTCCATACCTATCCATATTTAATCAACATTATGGACAGAGCAAAGTTTTCGAGGTTACTAAAAATATATTAATTTCTCCCCAGATAATTGACTGTCGGTACCCCTATGAGTATGAGGGAGGTCACATCGTGAACGCTATCAACTATTACACTCCATCACAAATCATGACCCTGGTCGATCAACCAGCGCCTGAAAAGAAAGAGGGAAGGAGTATTCTGGTCTTCCACTGCGAATTCTCATTGGAGAGAGGCCCTAAACTGTAAGTATTATTATAATTGGAATACTCAATTAAACTTTAAAAAGAGAGTAGCCTATGTAATACTCCAGACTATTATCTATCTCTGTGCCAAATTACATTCAGATCCGTTCAGTAGTGTTTACGTGAGAGAGTAACAAACATCCATCCGTAGTTACACACTGTAGCGTTTATAATCGATTAAAAGTACATTAAAGACGTCTGTCGAAGCCCTACCAACTTGTAACGGCAGTAAATATAAATAATTTGATAATAAATAAAAATCCCCTTACCCTTTCAATTCAATATTCTTATCATTTCAATAGTTCAACTTTGTGTATTTGTCGGTCAGTCCTCTAGTGAATCTATTTGCTCGTTCCAAAGTGTAGATTCCGATGGAGAAGAACGAGCAAGAAACTCCATGGTTACTCTTTTTCAATCAGTTTTACAATTCATTTCTTTGTTACGTCATTTAGTTATTATATTTAGTATTAATATTTAGTCTAAAGAACACAGCTTCACAGACGACCACACTGACAGACTACTATTCTATTTTGACGTTTCAAAAGTACCTATTTATGGTGTAGTTAAAAAGACTTTGATTCTGAAACAATTAAAATAACAAATTCTAATTTCGTTACAGCTCAAGATTCCTCCGTTCATCGGACCGAGCTAAGAACAAGGATCGGTACCCATATCTCAGTTATCCAGAAATATATCTTCTCTACGGAGGTTATCAAGCCTTCCATCGAGCTCAGCCAGAATTATGTGCTCCATTTGGCTACACACCGATGAGAGATCCCAAGCATGCTCAGTTATTAAAAGAACACCGGCAACACAGGTAGAAGATTCTAGATTTTAATTTTAGACCTATTCAGGTTATTATTTTGTCAATATTACTGTTTTAAAAAGGTTTATTCAGACTTTCAAATGCCTATTGTTTCCACAAAAGTAAATATGTAGATCACAGAATTCATTTCTTGATTTAACCAATGTTAACAATTAATATGTAAGCTATTTGATGCTTAAAAATACAGAATTTCATTCAAAAAGCTTCAGAGAATTTCTCCATATTTATAATTGGGAAATAATTATTTGAATTGTTGAGTAGTTGTCCAATAGTGGAATGTGTAAATTGATAACATAATTACTCTTCAATAAAAGTGACTAAGACTATTTAATATGTATTACAAAAATCTCATATAACACTACATGGATTTTTGTCTTCATAACAATGTTTTTAAGTAACTATTTTATTAATAAAATTGACATTTGTAAATATACATATAATGGTATAAATGATTGAGCGTAATCATCAGCCTATAAGTGCCCACTGCTGAGCAAAGGCCTCTTCTCACATGGAGAAGGTTTGAGCATTAACCATCACGCTTGCTCAAGCTGGATTGGCGATTTCAAACTTATAATTAGAAATTACAATTCCAAGTATCTTCACGATGTTTCCCTTCACCGTATGTCAGTGGTGTCTAAATAATCATAGAAAGTACATATAACTCGGAAAAAGTCACATTGGTACTTGGCAGGTTTTGATGCATGAGAAGTGGGCCTTAGCCACCAAGACAAAGGTTGAACAGTGGATATTATTGTATTATATCTTTAAAAAGTCCAACTTTAAATGGCTATGGTGATCTGTCTGTTCTATTACCACCAATAACAATTTCATTAATAAAATAGTTACTTATATACCTTTACAATATAAGTCTTGTATATAAATGATGCCATATTATGTTTTAAATACATCTATATATAATATACTTTGAGTGAACTAGTACAAATAATATATTACAGCGATTTATTAAACTCTGTTTCATTGGATTTTTCAATAGTCAGATAAATGTTATCTGAGGAATAAAATTGTTGCTGTCACTGTCTTATACAAACATTGTGACGCGACAGCAACATAATTATTCCCCAGGCAACTTTTATATAACCATTGAAAAATCAGCCTGCTTGTGATAAATTTGATTTAATAGTCCATGTCATTTGTAAATCAGCCTATTTCCATATTAACATTAATACAACAGAAGTTTAATGAAAAAGCTGTTATATTTTTAGTTTACAAGTACCTTGCGATTTGTTCTCCTAAAAGGCTGCGATATATTTATAACTTCTTATGAGTTCTGGGTGTACACTGACAGCTTTAATTGCTTACCATCAGACACTTTTCATAGTTATAAATCGCTATAATCGACTATAGACGACAAATGATGACTTTTTCTTGTCGAATAGGCTCAACATTGGCGAAAATAGACTTTTTTATTGTCTCCTATAGCCGATTGTAACGGTCAAAAGACTTATCTTGAGTTGCTTTTAAACTAAAAATTTACTAATAATTAATAGTATATAAAAAATAATGTTTAGTTTTTATAAGAAAAAAATGTCGATATTCCCACCTCTTTTAGTTAGTAAGGTTTTTTTGTTTTGACATTGCAATATATTATATATATAATTATATACATATAGTAAATAGAATTGAAATTACGTTACAAAAATTTTTATAAATAAAAAGCCGTTCTAAGTATATAAGCGGTTTTAAAGAGAATATCGAGAGCGTCTTCTGAATCGGATTACACACCTCCGAAAATGTCAAAAAGTTTGGATGGAACATCATCGGATCTGAACTCAGATTTAATATCATTGTCAGAAATGAAAGATACTATATCCCAATTGACTGGTGAACTCAATTGCACGCAATCTGAGCTTGACAAAACATTACTGGAAAACCATGATCTTCAAAAACAAGTAAACAAGTTAACTGCAGAAAATAATATGTTAAAATCTTTATGTCAATCAACTTCATTGCCAGACGCTAGTTTCCGTAGCAGTATCAAAAAGAAGAGGCACTCCTTGGCATACTGCACAACATCTACCCCATCATCACCTATTTATTCTTCAAACGCTAACTACGAAAATAAAACAATATCCCTAAAAAAACAAATTGAAGATCTACAGCTACGGTTGGATAGAGCTAACCTTGAAATTTCAGCTCTGACCAAACAAATAGAGACACTATCGCAGTACTTACAAAATAAAACTGAAGTCTTGAATCCGACCACGTTTCCGAGAAATCACGAACACAGACTGGAAAAAACCATATTTATATTCGGTACCCAACAATGTGTTGGTCTGGCCTCGGCTCTACTGCAATCAAGATCAAACACCAAGTATGAAAAATACGGTATCCTTGCGGAAACGAATCCAAATGCGAAATGTGATATAATAATTCAGAACTGCATAAAAACAACTTAAAACCGAATGATAAGCTTGTGATATGTATAGGGGAAAATGATAATAACTTGGGGCAAGTTCTATCACAGTTAGAAGGTTTATTGGATACATTTTACAATAATAGGATAATTGTACTTAAAGTTAGCAATAGTAACTCCTTAAATGTTTCTAAGTTGAATTATAGCATAGAAAAATTATGTAAAAAGTTTAAAAAATGTTACTTTCTTGATATTGTAAACTTTAAGTTATCAGAGATTTGTAAGTCTATAAATTATGTAATAGATTGTAACGACTACGATGAAAAATACTTATATCCCGGAAATATTAAGCAATTTATAATGCGTAATCAACCAAGTAGCAATATAGCCATTAGTAACAGTAAGCCTAAAAAAGGAACAATTCCTTACTATTTCAGTATACAAAATTGCGATAAATTATACGAGCAGTAAACACAGCAGTATCAATCGGGACTATAAATAAAGGTACAATACCTTACTACTTCCCTATATTAAAAATAAAGGGGATTTTTTTCGTGTCTAAAACCCAAATGTTTAATATTTTGCATCAAAACATAGCGAGTATTTTGTCAAAACGGGAACTTTTAGAAATAACAATTGAGGAGTTAAAAATAGCACAAAAAGAGCCTGACGTAATTTGCCTGTCTGAAACTTTTGTGAAAAAGGGCTATGAGAATTATGTCAAAATATTTAAGTATGAATTAGCGTCAAACTTTTGCAGAGAAAAGCAAAGAGGAGGAACCTGTATCTTATTAAAAAAAAGGTATTCCCTTCAAAGATCTATCATTCATTAAAAAATATGTAACCCAAAATACATTTGAAGCCTGCGGCATAGAAATTGAGTGTTATAAAATGCTAGTTATTTGCGTCTACAGAACTCCAAACTCGGATCCTACCCAGTTCTTATATAAATTAGATAATCTTTGAACTACATAACTCATAAATACAAACCGACATTTCGTATAGTGATAGCGGGTGATCTTAATATAAACACGTTAAAAAAAGCAATGTCACTAATCACCTGCAAGACATATCCTACAACTATAATATGAAAATTCACATAGATGTGCCTACGCGCAAGTCATCTTGCATAGACCACATTCTGAGCAATATTCCAAATGCAATTACGTCAGTTATGCCTCTCCATCTCTCGGACCATGACACCGCTCAAATGTTGAGCTTTCCTATAAAAAAAAGGATGCATACTCGTACATCTTACTACATATTTAGAAGGATTATAGTTCGGACAATATTCGCAAATTCAAGGAATGTCTAAATAATATATCTTGGTCACAATTATACGTAAAAAATGATGCAAATGTATTTAGTGAATTTCATGAACTGCTTTGCTTATTTTACAATCTTTGCTTTCCAAAAGTAAAAGTAAAATAAATAACAAAGGTAATAATAATCAAAATTGGATCAGCAAGGGCTTAAAAATAAGTTGTCGAAAAAAATGTAAGCTACGATATAAATATTATAAAAATAAAAATCCAAATAATAAAATGAAATATATGACATATTCCAATATTTTAAAAAAATGCATAGTGAATTCAAAAAAAATTCAAATATTAAATATATTCACAAAAACGGAAACAAATGTAGGGCCACGTGGGCAGTAATTAAAAGTGAAATGAACGGTACAAATTGTATAGGAAACATAGAGAAAATTATAATTGACAACACAACATTAACAGATCCTATCGAAATTGCCACTGCTTTCAATAATAATTATGTCAACTTAACGCATACGAGTACCCGAATAGCATGAAATCATCATCTCACATTAGAACAACCGGCAACTCGATGTTCCTAAAACCTATGGAGGAAAGCGAGGTTAAACAATTGATAATGTCGTTAGCTAATTCCAATTCTGTGGGCTATGATGACATTAATACTAAAATTATTAAAGAGTGTGCAAATCAATTAACTCCTATTTTGACACATTTAGTTAATGTATCTTTTGCATCGGGAACTTTTCCTGATGCCCTGAAATACTCAATAGTCAAACCTTTATATAAAAAGGGCGAAAAATCTGACATCAATAACTATCGTCCAATAACGTTAATTCCCATATTGTCCAAAGTGTATGAAAAGTGTATGTATAAAAGACTAATATGCTATTGCGACAAATTTCATATAATTAGCAAAGAGCAGTATGGCTTCCAGGAAAATAAGTCTACTACATTGGCAATATTTTCTCTTGTAAAGGCTATAGTTACCAACATCAATAAAAATAATCTGACCACTGGGCTATTTTTTGACATTTCAAAAGCCTTTGACTTAGTTTCCCACAGTCTGTTACTCGAAAAACTTGAATTAGTTGGCATTAGGGGTCCTACACTTCAGTGGATAGCCTCATATCTTAGTAACAGACTACAACGTGTCATCATTGATAGAATAGACGACTGTCAGAATAAGGTGTCTTTTTCTTCAGAATACAAGCACAATAAACATGGTGTACCACAGGGAAGTGTACTGGGCCCTATCCTGTTCATACTATACATAAATGACATTATTAATATAACCAATCACCAATGTATATTGTTCGCTGATGACATTAGTATTATTATAACGACAGAAAA